GGTAATAACTGTTGGTATCATCTTCTGGTGAGTCAAAACTAAAAAGTATTTTATTTTTACCATGAAACTTAGCAATCAACATTTTATTTAGTTGATCAACAAATTCATTCCTACTATTTAAGATAGCTCTTTAATTCCAATCATGTAATTCTCCTAAATTGCTTTTTAATCTAATAATGAAAATATTCTCCTTATTAAATGCACTACTAGTACCATTGGGGTTGATAACCAAGTGTTCTAGAAGAACCAAATCATCTTTTATTGGATGTTCTTCTTCGTTTCCGACACGAAGCAAGAAGTCACTGAATGTTGAATCTGTTCTTACTTTTATATTTCTTGTCATTTGAATATTTTTCATTTGAGGTCATAAGTATAATTAAGGCAAGCTAGCTTTTACGGTTTCTGATTTCGCCAATTTTTCGTACTTGACAGAAATCACCTCCCTAAAATCTTTTTTTAACTTGAAAAATAATTTTACTCATATGAATTTTAAAAAATAATCTAATTGGATTCTCTTGCTAAATAATTAATTAAATTTTTTGATTATTTGGTTTAACATAAAGTATAATTTATTTTCTATTGATTTACATTCTTAATAATAGTTCATCTCATATTTGAATATTTAACCGTAATTATAATTTTATCTACCATAAATTTATTTTTAAAGAGTAAAAAGATCAATTTGACATTCCACTTTTAGATCTTTATATTTGCAAATCATTAGTAGTATTGGCTCTTACCAATCTTTTTTTTTCTCATACATTTATATTCTTAAAAAATTTCTTAGTTGTTCTTTAATAATTGAATATATTTTTCTACATTACACGAAAAATTAATAATAAAAAATATTATTTGAGTAGAAAGCAGTTCAGATATAATATAATAATATATTATTGCAGGGATTTGTTTTCTCAATTTCAACGCTCTATGCAATCCTTTTAGCATTTCTTTTATTTTTTCTTGGTATCGAATATTATAGAGTGGTAATGTATTACCACCACTATGGAGGATTCTTATGAAATTTTATTTTTATTAAACCTTCCTTCATATTTTTAATAAGAATCCAATATAAAAGATTGTATTAATTTTAAAATCTTAAATATTAAAAAAATTAACATAGAAGTTATTGTAGTTCAAAAAAATAAGTTATTACAACTATGTCATTTCCGTGTGAGTTTTTCGGTTTAATATTTTAGGGTTATTTTGGTCTATTCAATATTATATTTGTACTTTTATAATAATATAAGCTCTCCTGTTTCTAAATGAATTTAGACAATATAATACGTTTTCAAATTAAATTAGCAATAGAATTTTTTTAAGAAGTATATCGTAAAGTAATAGGATTACATGTCTAAAAATATATCCATATCCCGAAAGTAATTATACTAATAGAAAATCTAACATGTTCCTAAATTTATTAGGTTTACATGCTAACATGTAGTATTATATATCTATGCCCGAACATAATTACAGTAATGGGATTTCTAAAGGTAATCATGTAGGATTCCTAATGTGTAGTATTATGTCCTAATACTAATAGGATTACAAGGCTAATGTCTAGAATTCTGGTTATGTCCTTTTATTATGAGTTATTATACTTTAGATGATTGTTGTATTATTATATATATAAATTTATCTCTTTAATTAAATTTTATTGTTCATTCATATAAATAAATATTTAAATCATCACGTGTTATTATAAAAGTTGGAACCCCAAAAGTTAAAAGTTAAATTATTGAAATAGCATAAATTATTGAATAGCATAAATATTGAATCCCCTTAACAGGACGTTTAATTATTTAATAATATTAAAATAAAAGAAAGTGACTTTTGGACATTTACGAAACGTCCTGTTAAGGGGATTCTTGGACTTTTCATAATAGTGTGCTGACATTGCGTAGTGTAAATTTGATTCTTTTATATATGAATTTTAGTAGCAACATACATTATTTTTTTAAATAAAAAGAATAAAATCTAATTCATAAAGGTAATCACGTAAGATTCCGAACGTATAGTATTATGTCCTAACACTAATAGGATTACAAGGCTAATGTCTAGAATTTCGATTATATCCTTTTATTATAAGTTATTATGCTTAATATTAAAAGGTTATTTTTGTAATCCAACATTTTATTCATGCTTTTTTTAATAATATAGATATATTTATGTATATGGGATATGGAAAAGAGGTTACGGTGTTATACGCACCACCACCTGATCTGTTGGTATATGTTGATGATGTTGCCCACAGTGACCGAGACGATATGATGGGATGCCCTCAATGGCTTGATGATGTTATGTACACCTATACCCATGCATGACACGACATTTATATACACGTGCATGGCATTATAAATGCTTCAGAATTTACAAAGTTATTCAGATTTATATATGGATCTCTTTATTCTATGTTCCATCTATGTCTTTTATGTATAGATTTTCATGCCTTACATACTCAGTAAATTTTTCGTATTGACGCCCTATTTTACGGGACCTGCTTTCATGCCCGCAGGTGCAGGTAGGCAAGCTGACGGTCCCCCTTCTTAGGATCCTTGATCAACGAAAGATGGCGTGCTCCACTTAATCCGGAGCGTCTTTTGATTTTGGTACGATATGCTTGTATATATACATGGGTATGACGTGGCTCAGTCCCATCTTTATACAGTTATGTTTCTATTAGAGGTCTGTAGATAGTTATGTATAGCTGGATAGTATGTGGCCTTGTCAGCTTTCAGTTATGGGTATATAGTTGTCTATAGCAGCCTTGCCGGCTCGCCCACTGTATTTCGCATGTATATGTACATATGCCTTTTTGGCAGGTTTCCTTCATGTATGTATTCTCAAAATTCAACAGACGTCATTCAGGTTTATATCTTAGATGCATGCTTAAGGGTGTTCGACAGGTAGAAATCGGGCACCCGCAGCCCATCGATTTGGGTCGTGACAAAAGTGTTATCAGAGCAGTTCTGTCCTAGGGTTGTCTATAGACCGTGTCTAGTAGAGTCTTATTTATGGGTGTGTTGTACACCACACTTATAGACAGGAGGCTACAAGACATATATGTGTTATCCTCTCTTTTTATCTTAGATCGTGCGATATAAAAATTCATGTTCCTAACGATATGTTACGTTTCAACGATGCCTCCAAAGACTACAACTACCTAGAAGGAAAAGTCTGTGGCTGGAGAGACTACCTGTCGATCGCCACGAGTTACCAGGGCTCGGGGAGAGTCTCATAGTGAGATTCCATCTCAGACTTCACATACCTCGCCCTCTCTAGGAGAGCTCCGAGGGGCACCAACTGCAGCGCTTGTTCCTGTACATTCAACCCCTCAGCCAAATACACCGATCAAGAGATGAAAGATGTTATTCAGCTATTAACCCGATTAATAGCCACACAGGCTCGACGTCAGGAAGTAGGTATTGGTTAGGCAGATAGGTCCGTCAGTGCGAGGGTACGTAACTTCATTAATTTAGACCCTCCGGTATTCACTAGGACAGATCCAAACGAGGACCCTCGGGTATTTATTGATAGAATGCAGAGGATGTTAAGAGCAATGAAGGCCACCACGACTGAGTCAGTTAAGCTAGCTTCCGATAGACTCCGAAATAAGTTCCAACTTCTAGCCATTAATCATAGACTTACCAAAACTAGCCAAACACATATAAAAATTGAAAACTCAAATAAAAGGTTCTTTCTCTCTAAGAATCACACGTAAAAATCTCCTTCCATATTTTTAAGCGTGATCAGCAACATTAGATGCAAGATCGAAAGAAAATATTATGGATGAGGTATCAAACAAGGTGATGAAATATATATATATATNATATCAAAATTTGTAGTTAAAATCGAGTTCAAAAAATTTTTCTACGACACATGTCTCACTCATGTATCACACACACAGGTATGTATGGATATACATGTGATACACATTTGATACAAATATGATACATATGTGATACAAAATGATATACAATGTGATGCACATTATTTTTCCATGTTTTGTCTTCTATTTCGAATTTTCAATTCAAACTATTTCAAAACTTCACCAAATCATCCCAAAACTGAGATTCAAACTCCTTAAGATGTACCCAATCTATTCTAACAACACCCACTCAAAAGAAGCAAAAATTTAATCTTTTTTTTTACTACAAATAGTTAATTGGCTAATATTGACAATATTTGGCTAACATTAGTAACATTTAATGAATTGATCATTTTTTGTAATAAGCTACTTATAAATGGACATAGCTGGTTTGGGAAGAAGCACATGTAATTTAAACATATTGGCAAATATTATCAATTCAAAATTCCTTCATAAAAGCGTGGGCCATCATCCAACTAACTAAAATTGGCCCAAAGTGGAACATTAATGGGCTTAAATTTTTGATAGTCTACCCAAGGAAGGCCCATTTTATATTCCAGATCCATTCGAAAAAGGTCCATTCTTTTTGTCTAGACAGTTCGCGTACATTCGAGAAAGTCTTACAAACCCCTCCAAAAAGTCCTTGAACCTTCATCGTCTACCGCCTCTTCGTGTCTGCATACCCACCTCTATATATACCCATTGTTCTCCAACGTTTGTATTTATATTTATTTATTATTATATTATTACTAAGCTATAAGGTTTTTGAGAAATTTTTGCTGTTCATTAAAAAACGAGAACCGAAAATGGCAAAAGAGGGACCTAATTGGGATGGTCTACTAAAGTGGAGTCTGTCTCATGCTGATGGTACTAATCCTACTCGCAATTTGAGGTAACCCCTTTTAATATAATTTTTTTTTTAAATATTTATGTTTATGTTTATGTGGTTTCTTGAAGTGAGTCGAATTTATCTCATGAGGTCATGGAAAGTTTGAATCTTGTTTTGAGTGATTTTATGTATTGTTAATGGGACTGAAAAGTTAAAAGATTGGAACTTTGATTTGGTATTTTTTTTATATTTAATTTCATTTTCTTTGGTCGTAGTTATTTGAATAATAGCTCCACCTATGTTATTAGGTTCGAACCCGTGCTGTAGGCAAAAACCTGGTATTTAAGCGAAGAACGGTAGTAATAATAGCTCCACGTATGTTAGGAACGCCAAGCCAGTTTTATGCCTAGATAAACGAGGGGTTTTGTTGTAGGTTGAGGACCAGCTAAAAATAGTTTAAATATGAGTGGAATGGATAAAAGAGGATTCATATAGTTGACAAATTAGTTTTGGGATTGAGGCGTGGTTGATTGGTGTTGTAATTTAAATGCAGTTTCTGTTGTTCGTTGTTCTTTTATGTGGGAGTTTGTGTTTCGGATTGAAGTTTGTCGCTGATGGGTTTATTGGCTTACCAGTGAGGAGGACAGGAGGTGGTTCATGGAAGCTATGCAAGCTCAAACTGTAGATGTAGTAAAGAGAATGAAGGAGATTACTCTTGTAATGCAGACTCCAGAGCAGGTCTTGGAATCACAGGGGGTAACTTCCCAAGATATTGAAGGTACTTGATTTTTGAGTCCTTTGTATGTAGTTTTTTGGCCAATGTGTATTCTATTTTGTGACCTTTGGTCATTTGGTCTTATTTGCTGGTCTGGTGATTTTTCCAGATATGCTGGATGAGCTACAAGAACATGTTGAATCGATTGACATGGCTAACGGTGAGTTCTTTGATATTCAGCAACATGTTGCATATCATGATTTGATTTTTATTACGTCTTGCATAATTCTAAAACTAATTAGGGATTGAGACCTAGTTAATTGATATGTGGAAGATTTAATTTGATGCGATAGTTGGTAAAATGTCCCACATTAGTTAAGGGAATAAGTTGTTGTCTCCTTATATGGTTTGGGTCAATTCTCATCTGGTGGGCTAGCTTTTGGTGTTGATATCCCAAGGTCCATTCTCTTAATACGGTGTTAGAGCTTTACCAATATGATTCTTGGCTAGGTCCCCATGTTAATATGTTCATGCTCCATGTGTCTAGCTTGGTCGTCGAGAGGAGTGTTAGCATGTCCCACATCGGGCGAGAGCAGTGTTTTAAAAGGCATGGGCGCAAGACGAGGCATTTTACATATGCCTCAGCTAGGCATAAGCCTCGAGGCACGGGGTGTAAGTTCCATAGATATTTAATTTTTAATATTTTATAAAATTATATAATTACAGTAAATATTTATAAACATGTAAAATTGCAGAAAAAATTGAAGAAAACTATAAATATGTGATATATATGTGCTCCATCCCCACAAAAAACTAGTCAGAACAATCTATTATACACTACTTACAAGCACAAACAAGTAACTTGAGTCAAAAAGAATAAAGTACATGGAGGAACAAAAAGGATGACTAACCTGCAATTTGAACTTTGAACTTGCTCCTATGAAGGAGAATGTAGTTCTCTTTATATAAAAAAAATTGAATATTCGTTGCTTTTGGGAGATATTAGCAGACTAGCGGACAAGATAAAGAATTAGGAAAGATCATGAATTAAGGCTTCAATCAATAAAAAAATGTCTTGACTTTTTAATTTAATACATTAAGTTCCTTTTTAAAACCTTTGAATAATTACTAGCCGGCTTTTGAGAATTTGGGTATTATATGAAAGATGACGAGGCCAATGCGTATAAGATTTTGCTGCTCGTACTTTGTCAAATTCTAGTATAGTTTATGATATCATCCCACAGAGATTGGAGAATCTAGTTACAAACTTATAATATTCTTACTACTATTTGAGAGAATCAGATTGATGAAGTTTTGTTTGTTGAAAATTTAAATTGCTTAAGTTGAAACAAAATAACTTTCGGAAGATTTATATTTAAAAAGAGTTGGGAATCATTGAATTCACTCGATAACGTGATAATAATAAAATCTTAGCTTCTACATGTATTTCTCTTAGGAATAACTGTTTATTGCTAATACAGTTATATTTTGCTCACTAAGAAATAATCAATTAATAACACTCCGCGAGGTTATGTAAATCAATTGATATATGACTCGTGATGATTAAACTGAAATAATTTTCTTGCCTGAATTATGCTAAAAGATAGCAAAAACCTCCTGCGATTAATTTTTACTAATAATCAATAATCTTGCCATCTACAACTCCTCTCACTCTGTGAGAATTAGAATGGAAGTAAGCAAGATTACAGACTTGGAATGATAGCTTAAAAAGAATTACTCTCACTCTATTATTTTACCTAATAGTTATCGTATATTAATTTTGCTTCGTGAGAATTACAAAATTGACATACAACTAACGTTGGAGAATAAATAGATAGAAGTGATAATAATTAATTAAAACTAATATTCCAGCACAATATAGAAATATAATTAGAAAGTTTCAGGTCAAGCATGTAGTAAAATTGAGATTAATATTATAACGCTATCGAGCTTCATCAACTATCCCAACAAAAGAGATTACTCCATTATGGAGTATTTAAATCTCACAAAGAAAGAAATTCTTAAAATACTATCAACACTCTTAGAAAATTCAAAGACTACAAGATAAAATGAAATAGATAAAGAGGGAAGTAAAGACCAAAGCTAGAGAAAGGTTTGCTAATTAGGCACGTATGATCTTCTTCCTTTCAACACAAACATCCTATTTATAGAAATCAAATCTCATAAGGTGCCACGATGCCTCGTGGTTCTTTTGCCATGATGCCTCGTGGTTCTTTTGCCATGATGCGTCGTGCTTCTATTGCCATGATGCGTTGTGCTTCTATTGCCATGATGCCTCGTGGTTCTTTTGCCGTGATGCCTCGTGCTTTTCTTTTATTCCTTTATTTTCTTTATCATGATATTTTTATTTCCTGCAAAATACTATTAGAAAATACAGATAATTGACATATTATATATATATATATATATATAATTTAAAATAATTTATTTTTAAGTATATAATATATGAATATTTTATAGTCATCAAAGGACTTATTCAACAAATTTTGTTTTAATTTGAAAAAGTCTCTGGGCTTACGCCTCATTATAAAAACATGCGCCGAACGCCCGGGCGTACGCCCCGAGTTGCTGGGCGTATGCCTCTTGAGACTTTCGCCCCACAATGTCGCCTCGGGGCGTTTTTGGTGCGCCTCGCCCCGAAAACTCCTTTTAATACACTGGGCGAGAGAATTAGCTCTCGTTTCCTTATATGATCTTGCGCAATTTTCGCCTTATGAACTAGCTTTTAGAGTTGAGTTACGCACAAAGTTCGTTTTCTTAATAATATTGTGAAGGTCTAGTCGAAATTTCTAATGTTGCACGTCACATGTTTGAACTCTACGGCATAAAAAAGCCTGCTATTTAAGTAGAGAATGGTAGATTGGTGTGCCCATTATTACCGAGTTTAGAACCGTGCCCCACTATCCATTGGTAATTAAAAAACAAAAAAAAGTGCCTAATCAAGGAGTAACTTTATTGGTTATATGATTCCATTCTTTTATTGACCTGTCCTTTGTTGATACATTAAGGTGGTGCATATCATGTGTTCATCTAGGAGCCAAGCCTGTAAATTTTTTCTGTTTTCTGAAATATGGCCTGACAAGCATCCTGTATTTCTGTAGAGTAGCTACTTTGCAGTATGCATGATGGGCCTGTTTAAACCTTCATTCTACTTTGGTTTTTTCCTTAGACTGATGAAGTCTCTTAAAATAGCAGTAATGATGTTGCACTGATCTTTTACTTCCGACTAGTTCAAGGACATTCATCCGCTCATCGTAAGGCAATATGCATGTGACTAAAAGTTTTCAGTAAAGATATGTAACTTCATGTACATCTCTGTTGAAGATCTTTGTGCTTGATCACATAACCAAAACAAATAAAAACCTGAACTTCACGTAATCCTCTTGGATATCGCACCTGATTTCCTGCTGTTTATCCCTGGTTTCTAGGGGTTGTTATTGGTGATGTCCAGATATTATCCATTCTACACTGTAGTACTTGTTGGAAAGCAAAATAATGAGCATTAATGGACCAAGCTGACACTATTATGTAGTCAGTACCATACCTCACACAAGATCCATTAAGCTGACACTATTGCATAGCACCATACATCACTCAAGATCCTCTGTCCCACTGTTTTGCGTCATAAGCTTAGTTGTGATAGTTTATATAAGCAGTTGCAATATTCTTTTATCCTAGGCCGAGGGTCTACTGCAAACAATCTCTGTGCCTTCTTAAAGGTAGGGTCCTCTCCACGTGTGGGATTCATTGGGTTTCTTCTTGTTGTTTGTTGTAGTTGCAATATTCTTTTATATATATATATTCTCAGTGTCATTGTGCCCTACGGTATGAGGTGGTTGAGACTTCTATTCAACCTGGAAGAAAAAAGGACAGTAAACAAAATGAAAAGACAAAAAAGAGGTATCTTAGATGCTTTGGTATGACTGCAGTCAAGGGGTTTGCCGTTTGCATGGGCATAAAGAGAGTGGAAATTACAGTTCAAGTTGTTTTTGATTCTGGTGCCTGTTTAAGAGCTTGGTAACTGGTTTTCTTCCTAGGATAAAAATGAAACACTTACAGAAGACGGCTTGAAGAGTATCAAAAAGTATGAAATAAAAAACCCACTATAGCACTTTAGCTCTCATCCTTTACTGCATTGTATTAAACTAGAAAGCCTATGACTAATTGGGGATATTGCTTCCTTAACTCGGTTGACTACGTTGACATTTTTTTTGGAGATTTCAATAGTTAATACTATTCCCATTATTAGAAGTTTTAGTCTCATGTTCTCTCCTTTTATTGTTAATTTGGCAGATCTGCACTCAATTGGTGGATTGGTGCCTCTTCTTGGTTACTTAAAGAACTCCCATGCAAACATTAGAGCCAAAGCTGCGGAAGTCGTAAGTACAATTGTTCAGAACAATCCGAAGAGTCAACAGCTGGTAATGGAAGCTAACGGCCTAGAATCTCTTCTCTCAAATTTCACCTCAGATCCTGATGTTACTGCCCGCACTAAAGCTCTTGGTGCAATCTCATGTGGGTATTTTTCCTGTTGATGAATGATTCATTAGTAAATTGAGTCCTTTAATTTCAGTTGACATGTCATCCGTGTTGCAATAACACTGATCAATTATTCTTTCCCCTTTATTCCAGCTTTAATCAGGCACAACAAGCTTGGCATTGCTGCATTTCGTCTTGCAAATGGTTATGCAGCTCTAAGAGATGCTTTGAGTTCCGAGAGTGTGAGATTTCAAAGGTATGATTTTGCAATGTCATGTTCAATATGTTTTGAGAATCAAAAGAATCGGATAAAGTTACTGCTTACTTTCTGTAAAAGCTTCCCCTGTTGTATTCGTTCTAATAGGTATTGTTTTTTCCCCAGGAAAGCCCTTAACTTGATCCATTATTTACTACATGAAAATCGTTCAGACTGTGCTGTAGTAACCGAGTTAGGATTTCCTCGAATTTTTATGCATCTAGCCTCCAGTGAGGATGGAGAGGTGCGAGAGGGTGCCCTACGAGGCCTTCTTGATCTTGGCCAAGACAGGACAGCACAGGCGGCAAATGGCTCGTCAAGTGAAGATGATGAAAAACTCAAGCAAATACTCCAGGAGCGAATTAAGGGGATTTCCGCTATGTCACCTGAAGATCTTGGTGCTGCTAAAGAAGAGCGGCAGCTTGTGGATTCCCTCTGGAATACCTGCTACAATGAGCCTTCTTCTCTTAGAGAACAAGGCCTAGTTGTTCTCCCCGGAGAGGATGATGCATTACCGCCTGATGTGGCTAGTAAGCATTTTGAACCACCTCTGAGAGCCTGGGCTGCAAATAGGAATGATGATACGAAGCCGAGTAGTGAAAAGAAACAGGCCCCATTACTGCTAGGCCTAGGTCCACCTGCACAGGATCCCCCTGCCTAAAATAGCTCCAGTGAAACCGTGGCTGGGGAAGAAAATAGAAACGCTTCTGCATGATATACGTTGTTTAGGCAATACCAGTTCTTTGTCTGAACATTTCTTGTGACCACAATTAACTTTGTATGTTAGATGCCTAGTGTTTTCTGGATAATTTATCGTCCTTTCTTCTCATCTGTGTCATCCAATTTTCTTCTTTTCATTTGTTGTTTAACTGAAATTTTCAGCGTGTAATGCTGTATTTTTTGGTTGCAGTATATTTAAAACATCAACTGTTGGATCTGGTTCTTTTCTCTTTGAGGGGTCAATTTATCACCATGTGGGAATTTCAACTAGTACTAATATTGCTGTTTATTGGCCTTCCACTAATTTCTCATTGAGACTGAATTACATAAGTTGGACTCATAGTGCCTATGCTAAGGTACAAAAACTTGTATATAGATTTTCAAGTTCCTCATTTGGGAGGGCAAAAAATAATGACATACCTTGAAGCTCTACATTTGTTTAGGCTAGAGGACTCATCAAATGCATAGCTATAAGCCTTAGGGCAGATGGCCTTAAAAAGAAGAGCGAAAATAGTCGGTTTGCAAGTTTTGGGACTTGCAAACTGTCCTGTGCAACAATACTTGGCTGATTGTATAGCCAAGCAAGCACTCTTGCACCCTACCACTTTCCCACCAACCTTCACTTCTAGTGCTGATGGACAACATATATTCAGATCAACATCACACTCCGCCATGCCACAACCTATTCCTCCACCCACAGGTCTCATTGAAACTGGCACGTTGAAGCCATCGACTAAGCTCACATCGTAGAAATGCAAGGGCGAAGTCGATGAGCCTAATGTCATTTCCACAACAGTAGTCGGGGGCTTGCCTCCTAGCCCCCGGCATTTTAACTGGCCATCACAGTCGCCAGTGTCACACGAGCCTGTGCCATTTCTATCGAAGTGGCAATTCTGTCTGGCCCATATCCTACCCGACCACTTCTTAGGCACATCGAAGACTACTTCCTCACCAGTTATCATATGAAAGCCACCATCTTTAGGAGTCATCTGTCCTGTATTGCCAAGAATTCCAGGCCATATGCTTCTTCTGCAGTTGTTAACTAGAATAAGTTGTGTCCCATCTGCAGTCACATAATAAAAAGTAAAACAAATCAAGAAAATATTATGCATGCAGACTTGAAACTAAGAAAAGGATTAAGAGCTAAGAATTACTTGTGCTGACAAGAAAGAGGAATACACAGAGTGGAATACTGACTAGATGATATAAAACCAGCATTTGGCACTTTAAGAGTGAGTACTGAGTTTGTGGGGAGTGGAAGAGCTAGCTGCTTAACTCTGAGAACTAAGGATTTTAAAGTACAGACTGAACATTCTGTTTTAAGAGTGCTTTTAATTTTTTTTAATTGTCATAGGTATTCTTCTTCCTTTTTAAAGAGCAAAGGCATATATGCATTACTTCAAGGGGAGGACTTGTACCCCTAGAGCTTAAGTGCCTTGTGTTCAATTTCCAACTTGACTCACTCATTAGACGCTTAAATCATCTTTGATTAACTGAGGTCTGATTAGGGGTGTACATGGGTCGGGTTGATTCGAATTTTACAATTACCAAACCAAACCAATTGTATCGGGTTATTAAATCTAAAGACCAAACCAAACCAATAAAACTCAGATTTTTCACTCTCGTTTTTTCTCGGATTAAAACTAAGTCATGCTAAAATAAGTAAACTAATAAGAGAGTATTAATTACATGACTAAACGCTAAAGAAAAAACAAAAATAAGTTATGTATTTTTATCTTAATTATTGCAAAACAAAAAATAGATATTCAATACATTCCCGTTCGTAGTATTGAATTGATTTTTTTTAGCATTAGTATTGATTTGATTTTGGTTTGGGCTTTTGTTAGCATTATTTAATTTACTAATATTACTGACTATAAAACTTATTGGAACATTCAAAAGTTCTAAGTCCAACCTTGAAATAATACCTTAAAAGATAAAATTATGAAAATTTTTAAGAAATATTTATAAATTACATCACAATAGTATATTTATATATTAAATATATCTAAAATTTCTGTATATGTAATGTCGGGTTGGTTTGATTTCGGTTTGACTTTCTTTAGTTAAAACCAAACCAAACTAATTATGGTCGGGTATTTTTTTTCCAACACCAAAACAAATCAAACCAAACCATAATTGGATTTTTTTCTCGATTTGACTCGGATTATCGGGTTGGTGCGGTTTGTCGGTTTCCTCTTTACACCCCTAGGTCTGATCAGAGAATTCGTCCATAATACATGTCCCCTACGTGCCTGAATTATTTAACTTGTTTAACAATATTAAGGACAAGTTTGTGCACAAAGTTACAATAAAGAATCCTTATTCGTTATATGGGAGAATTTTAGCTGCATTAAGTGTTAAGCCATCGCTTAACTTCACATTAAAGATTAGAATGGTTCCCTCAAATCTAATTCAACATGACTTATTGTGAACAACAACAACAACAAGCCCAGCGTAAATATACAAGTGGGGTCCGGGGAAGGTAGTGTATATACAAAGTCGCAAATTTTATCCTTACCTAAGAAAGTAGAGAGAGTGTTTCCGATAGAATCTCGACTCAAGAAAATATGAAAAAAGCGGCACTAACAACAAGCAATAACAACAAGATAGTAAAAAAACTAAAACGAAATAAACAACAAGTATTAATAGAAATCTACAAATAAGAAAATACAAAACTACACCAATACTACTGGTACTAAAAAAAGTGCTTGACTATCTATTAACTCTCAACCCAAATTCTCGACCTTGAAACCATGTGCTTATTTGTGAACATATTAGCAAAAGAGCATTTGAGAAAAGATCCTTCCACTTAAGTATATTATTAGCGGATTCAGGATTAAGGACATGGGTGTTTTAAACCATTTGTGTTATTCCTTCATGACAATTGACAAAGAATGCGAATTTTCTTCAAGAACTTTTCAAATATGCATGCATATATAATTTTCGAACCAAGGACAATAGGTGCAAGCACATCCCTATACTTTTTCGATTAAACTAGAAATGCTTTATTTAGTCAATTTTATCCCCCATTTTACAATCGATAGAATAATAAGTTATAAATCTTTTATTTGCAAACCAATGTATATATTTGTGTCATGAATTGACGAGAAAGGATAGGAAAAAAAAATAATAAATGACAACAAGTAGTAAAAATTCAAAGACATGATAGTTACTAGCTAGTATTTCCTCTGTTTCACTACTTCATATGAAATTAACAGTGATTCTAAAATTGACTTATTTTGAGAAGTGTTTTTCAAAAAAAAATATTTTTGGTAAGATTCCGTTTGTGTTTAGTTAATTACTTTGAAAAATACCATTAAGCAGTAATTAGAGTTTGACTAAGTTTTAAATAGTACTTTAACATATATTTTTCTCAAAAATGCTTTTTACAAAGGTATATTTAGTGGGCGTTTGGACATAAGAATTGTAAAATTTCAAAACAGGATGAATTTTTTTTTTCAAGTGAATTGGACATAAAATTTGATGGAAGATTTTTCCAACAAATTTCACTTTTTTTCGAAATCAGCGTTTGTTCATAAAATTTTCAATTTTCACTTGAAGATGCATTTTGAAAATTTTTGAAATTTTAAAAAACTGTAAAAAAAATATTTTTCAAAATTTTCACTCACAAAACTTCAAAAACAACCCAAACTGAAATTTACGTTCAAACACAACTCTAAATTGCAAATACCATTTTCATTTGAAATTTTTTTTCACCATTTTTTTGAATTTTGCAATTCTTATGTCCAAACGCCTACTTAAAGTTGTGTTTGGACATGAATATAATTTTGGGTTGTTTTTGAAGTTTTGTGAGTGATTTGAATGAAAATTTTGAAAAACAGATTTTTGAAATTTTTAAAATTTTTGAAAATTTTCAAAAAGCATCTTCAAGTGAAAATTGAAAATTTTATGAACAAACACTGATTTCGAAAAAAAAAAAGAAAAAACTTCTTATATCCAAACGGGCTCTTACGGAGAAACTAATTTTTTCTGCTTCTTGAAAATTGCTAATACTTCTACTCAAAAATACTTTTTTTATTTTTAAAAGTTTGGCCAAACACATTAACTTTAGACAAAAGTACTTTTGGCCAAATGAAACTCAGTTAAATAGGCTATAAATTGGCATGAAGTATAAGAAAAAAATTTAATTATTATTTTAAATATATCCTATATTTGTATGACTCTAAAATTTGAGATACTTATTAGAAACACACAGAAAGTTTATGAAGTCCACGTACTACAAAACATTTTTTTTTCAAGAGAGAATAATAATACCATGGTTTTTCAAAAATTATTTACTCTTCCAAAATATGTTCCAAAGAATAATTTGGACCTGAAGGGCAAAACCGCCTAAAATGGTCACAACCCCAAATTCAGCAAGAAAGAGGTACTGGAAAATAAGTCTCTATCTTCATCTGATAAACCCTTTGAATACCTGTTAGGGTTTTTGGAGAAGCAGCTACTATGCTTAGAATCGGAGCTAAGCTCTTTAGAGCTGCAACAATTGGTGGCTCTCTTTTCGGGTCATCGCAACTGCCACCGCCAAGATTCTTCTCTGTTAACAACAACAATGTTAACACTAGTAGTTTTAAGACCAACCCAGTTGCTCTTCAGATGATCAATTACGCTCTTTCCCTTGCCCGTTCCCAAAAATCAGGTTTTTTTTCACTATACCCATCTCATGAATTTGATTCTTGAGTTTGTTTTGCTGGTGTAAATGTGAATTTTGCTTTGATTTACATGTGGGTCTTAGTTGCCTGTTTTCAATTCTTGAGTTCGATTCTGTGTTTTTATAATGTTTGGTGAAAGAAAGTTGACAGAAGCAAATGAAGATTAATGCTAAACGCTCTGTTTAGATTAGTTATGTTCCCCTGCACAAAGTTATTTAATGGAAAGACTCTGCTAGGATATTACCAAATCATATGACTTATATTGTTAGTAATACTGAAAAATTCCTAGTTCTCTTTTTTCTAAGTTTGAAAATTCAATCTAATCTAACAACTTATTAACACATTTCATGAGTACTTTGTTAGTCTTACTTATTATAGGTATAGACTAATAAAGGCATCAATTCATTTCTTTAGGAAGAGTTGCTTTCTAATGGAAACAAAAGTCGTGATTTTTCAAGTGATACCCTTTCATAAATGAACGTGTCTTTTCGAGAAAACATGATAGTCAATCGGCTAGGACTAAGCGGTTCTGAAATTTGTAACCTACCATATATGAGACTGAGAAATCCGTCTGCGGCCAAGCCTTATGACCAACCACAACCTTTGAAACTCGGGGATAATGTGCTTGTTGCTCTACCATTCTCCACTTAAATACCAGGCTTGGTTCACATGATGCAGAGCTCTAACCTGTGACCTAAGTCACAAATCCCTCAACTTTTGCTACTTGAGCTAAGCTCTGGAAGCGGTCGACCATATATAATAGTTGTAAATGTGATTTTGCTTTAATTTTCCATACGGTGGTAGATGTTCACTCCAAAATCAGGTCTTTCACTTTTCCCAAGTCATCAAGTTCATGTCTTGAGCTTGATTCTCTGTTTTAAATAAGAATCTGCTTTGATTTCCCGTTTCTATAAAATCAGGCGTTTTTACTTTCCAGCTCATCAGGTTTGCGTCTTAACTCTTAAGTTTGGTTCTCTGTTGTAATTGTGAGTTTTCTTTGATCTTCCATGCGGGGTTTGTAGATGAATCATATGCACAAGCTCAATTGGTACTTGAGCAGTGCCACTCAGCTCAGCTGGATGAGAGTGCTAAAGGATTGGTTTTGATCGCCATGTCAACCTTATTTTCTGAAAGGTTTCAGAGTCTTAATAATTCTATGGTTATCTGCTAACAATTTTGACTGACTTTTAAGTTGAATTTAATTATTTTATTCTCCTTTCTGTGTGTTATTTTAGAGGAAATTTTGGTGAAGCCATTGAGAAGCTCCAGAAAGTTCAAGATTTAGGCTTGTCATCTTTAGCTGTTAAAGGTAAAAACTTGTGGAAACTTTTGATAGAAATCATAGTTTGGAGTTCCCATGGTAACAATTAGGCATATGATTGCAGTTGCCGCTTCTGAAGCACTTGCTGGGCTTTATTTAGAATCGCATCAAGTAAGAGCTATTGAACTTCTGATGTCTGCATGAACTGATTTAGGTTTAAGGTTTTATATATTAAGGAAAATAAGCAAATTTGTCTCCCATTTTAGGATGATCATTCATCGGCAACTGCAGAGATATGCTTGCAACTGCTGGAAACCATAAGGCTAGAGATTGGTGGTGGCGGATCTGAGTTTTTGGAAGCTCGTGCAAAAGCATTGAAGGGGCTTGTGGAGTTGGTCCGTGGTAACGTTGAATCAGGTGAGACATATATAGTGGTCGCGCTTTTTCCTCTGCTTTCTGGGCTATCCTTTATTTTTATGGTATTTAAATTTGAGCCGGTTCATTTCAGCTCAGACATTCTTTGAAGGAGCTCAGGGTGATAAAGGTTGCTTTGGTAAGGATTTGCCTTGTGAGACATCACAGATGACATAGTTCTACAATGTATTGATATCGTGATGTATAGGCAACGTTGCACTATCTTATGGTGAATTCCTTCATTGTAAGCGGGATTTCCAAACGGCGAGGGAGTTATATCAAAAGGCAATGCAGGATGTATCAGAAAGTAAAGATTTTACCGACTCACAGTCCTTATCAGCTTGTAACATGAATTTGGAGGAGTCGTTATTAGGGGCTACTTGTTCTTTAGGACAGCTTGAGGCTCATTTGGGGTGAGCCTATCTCTTAATATGTAGCTTTCCCTTGTAAATGCATATAATTCTATAATTTTCCCTCATGCACCGACTTTTCTGGTTGTAGGAATTTTGATGATGCTGAGGAAATACTGACTGCAGCACTGAAGAAAGCAGAAGAGGGTTTTGGTTTGATACATCAATTTATCGTTGTATGAGCGACAAAATAATTTGTATGCTTATTGATTTTGTATTTTATTTATGTGATGCAGGTAATTATCATCCAAAGGTGGGTATTATTTTGACCTGCATAGCTCTCATGTATCGGCATAAAGCAGCCATGGAACGGTCAAGCTCTCTTTTGATTCAAGAGGTCTGAGTCTATGCTCAAAGCCATTACAAATATCTATACACCATGTACCTTTACCGTCTCTTTACCTTTGCAACACCTGTGCAACATCAGGCCATTAACAATTATTTGGCTCGAGTCGAATTCACCTTAGCCGTTGGAGAAGATTTTGGGATGCATTTCCAAATTTTTTAAGACACATGGTTCAATGGACAGAATTTGGGTTTGTTGCCTATATGATTAAGGTGGTGTTTGTTTTGGATTTTTTTTGTTGATGATTTTGAAGAGCTGTTTCAAAATATATCGCTAAGAAACAGTTTGCTTCAATTGACCTGAATCCAAAGATTTAACGAATGACCTAAGTATTAGAGTTCTAATAGTTGAATGTGAGAATACTCTCTCAAAACGTTTCTTTGAATGCAGGGGCTCTATAGAAGAGCAATTGAAGTGCTCAAAGCTCCACCCTTGGAAATAGAAGGTATGAGCAATTGAAGTTCTCAAACCTGAAAATTTTTCAGGTTTTCATCGTGCGGAAGTCAACTATAGATAGAATAATGACCATTTGATTTCTTTTTACAGGTGTTGAAGCAAAACTGTCCAGAAGGGACATACTTGCCCTTGCAAGAGGTATTCCTTGCTTCTGAAATATAGTGGATCTTATTTATGTTTTATCCGCGTCTTTTGTGGAGCTATTTGACCTCTTCCAGAAAGTCTTCTTTTACCCAAATTACAAGACTTTCTTCTGGACCAAAAGTTTATAGTAGTAGCAAAAGATGTGTATTTATCGTTTACGGTAAAGTGTCTCTCTTTCCTCAACCCCTGCTTCCCTCTGGCAGTCTAGTTTCTGAGTCTTCATTGAAAGAGACAAGCTATAGATTGTAGGGGTTAGCATGTTTCCGGAACGTTGTGCTTTGAGCGAAGTAACAGATGCCTCCTGATTTTCAGTTCTATCTTTTTCAAGAATGGACGATCTATTTAAGTTGACTCAAATGATTTAAAAAAAAAAAGATACAGAAAATTCATCAAGAATTCTGCTCCAACGACCAGTGAAAGTCTTGTTTGTACTTGAAGGGTTGATCTTAGGTTTAACAGTTTGATAGCCTCTTCCGCAAAATGGTTCTGTTTAAAGGGGCACATCTGTTGTGTCGACTGTCGATAAGATTGCAAGCTTCCATTTATCCACTCTGCTTTCGCTTGCTGCTGTTTCTTATACAAGACTGCTGCCTACCTTGATAAGTATCATGAAATGACTTCTTGATGTACTCTGGCTATACATGAAGTATAATTTTTTCATGTGTATAAATTATAGTTTGGCCAATTCCATGCTAGTGCCTGGATCAAGTTGCTTGGTTGTTGTGCAGGTGGGTATGCTGAGACGCTTATCGTGCAACAAAATAGAAAGGCAGAAGGTGAAAAAATGAAGCAGTGGGCTGAAAAGGCTTGGACAAATCGCAGATTGTCACTCGCCGAGGCACTAGAGCCATCCGAGTCATCGACCAAGGTGGCTGTCATAGATACTCGAATCAGCCGGGTCCTGTAGTTTCCTCTCTTACATGTTTTCTTCGGAAATTTGAGATGTATTATGGTCACAACTAACATGTATCTATATACTTCTGTAGATATAATATGCTTTTTATGAGTTGCAATGTAAAAGTTGAGAATTATGTAAGCTTCTAGGTAGTACACCTTTGAATACGCTCGACTGACCCCGAATTGCATAAGATTATGTGGGCCCATCAGAAACGACCTAATGAACAATAAAGGTCTGAAATGTTTTGTGATATGGAATGATTTTAATGTTCTTTAAGGTTGTAGCTGAATTGCTTTTCCATATTAATTCCAGAAGAGATTTCCAAATTTTCTTGAATTATGAATTTTTCGCTGTTGTACATTACTGAATACATAGGCAACAGAATTGGAGTTTGTGCATGAAGAAATTAAACATATACAACTATTAGAGTGGAATATCAAGGCCTTTTCCAATATCTACGCCAATCATTTGAAGAATTCCCTTGTTGAAAATCTGAAAATAGCAAGAGGAAAAAACCTACAAAGATCATAATACAGTACTTAGGGAATAACTAAACTCACATAAGAAAGATATGTAGTTACCAGTTCCACAATGAATGTCCCAATAAGACCAATCATACAAGCTCTAGAATTCCATATCTCTGCTGTCCTTGTAAATCCCAGAAATGGTCTGCTCAATTTTGGTACTTCCTTTGGCAACTCCACCTACGCAATATAGTGCGATTTACAAGTACATCAATTTTCTTTAAATTTTTAATGTAATGAACTCGTTGTACTTTTAATATTATGGGTTAAGAATTTATAATACAAGCTTAAATTTTAGTAGTTTTTCACATATATACCCATACTATGTGTCAAAAATACTGAATTCGATTGAACTGCATTCGCCTCTGGTAGTTAGTAGAGCTAGGGACATGTATAATTGGAGGTCGATTTTAAACGAATCGTGAC